CAGTTTCTGTTTGGGATTTGTGTGGATTAATCAGCAGATTTGCCCCCGAGTGATAACGTCCTTAGATGGTGAAGTGGTCCTTGCAAGCAAATGTGCCATACATGGTACACTGTCTGCTGGATTTCTTATTCATTCCTTACTGAAAATGTAATAGCAATGCTCTCTTGTTGTAGATATTTTTTCAGACGAGAGGGTGAGGTTAAGGTACGTAATCCAGATGAATTGTAGTTTTTTTGGTGGCTTAGATATGGCATATTATTTCTTTTATGCTAGAGTTATAGGGTTTCGCAGGATGACTATTGAGTCACAAAATGTTGAGTTCTTCTTAATACTCAACAACTAAGAGAAGAGGAAGAAAACAAAACTCTTATTGCAATGGTGGGGTTTTTATTGCCTGACCTCTGTGAATTTCTGTGTCCTCCCAATGAATACAAATTCAGTTTCCCCTGAATGGGCTAGCTTCCTAACAACCAGAGTCACAAATGTTCTCACAAAATGGCATGGGAGAGTCTTTGATATCAGTTTGTAACATTAGCTATGAAGAAAAAAGATTGTCAGTAGATTGTAATAGGTTTGTTGGGACAATTTTTGTCCCAGCTAGGTTTTATCTTTTTAGTTTTTCTTTAAGAACACTAAAGCTAGAGTGGTAAAATATATTCACAAATTTTATTTTCCTAGATAGAAAACTGTATCTTGACACGTTGATGCACCACATTAAGAAAATTATTCAACTAGCACATTTCAGGACTTTTTCTTAAGGAATTTGTTTGCAAAACCCCAAACATTTTGTGTAAAAATAGATATTTTCTGCATAAATGTTGGGATTTCTGTATGAGCTTTGCAAACATTTTTTAAAAACAAAAACGTCCTAGAATGTGAAAAATGGGTAAAAGCTGGAATCACATGCTGCAAGAAGAAAACTTAAAGCTTATTCATTTTTGCCTGTGAGGATGAAATGAGTAAATATTTACATCCTAAATGCAAGTGGCTGAAATGTGGAGACACGGTTTACTGCTTTCCAGTGACAACATTGTAAAATGACCATACTTTACGTCTTGTTCTAAGCTGGTTCTGGGGAACTATAGTGTCTGTCTGATTGGATGAAAATTAATCACTATTTGCTATTAATCATTATTCTCCTTCAGTTATTTTCTGTTCTACCATGTGTTTTGCTTTCATAATATTTGTGTTCAGTTTAACTGAATCCTATACGTTTTTATGGATATACCAAAAGCTTTAATGTAGCTATAAAAATGGATGAGAATAACAGTAAAACTGTTTTTGAGAACTTAATGGAATTCTAATTTTTAGCCAAACACAGACTAATGTAAATAATGAAGAGAAAGTTGCACAGAGTATATGTTTCTAATGGAACTTGAAAAAATGGCACACTGTAATTGGCCTGTGTATGCTCTCTATTGAAGCTTTGCTATTGCTCTTTTGTTACTGTTTGCTAGCAGTCCAGTCATTTCCATGCTTGGACAATTCTGAAAACTCAGTATACTTTGCATGGCAATTTGGTTTGAATTTGAGGGTTATTGTCATTCCTTCATGCAGTTTTATAACTTTCTGTTTAGCTTGTGAAGTACACTCAACTTGAAGGTCACACTGAAGCAGTGTGTGCTTTGGATGCTGTTTACATGACAAATGAGTCTACAGGAGAGTTAGTTCTACTTATAGCTTCTGCAGCATCTGACTCAACAGTTAGAATTTGGTCTAAACAAGGAAAAGAAGGTAAGCTTTCCAAATTAATTCTGTAACATAGCAGTTATTAGAAATGGTATTCATATTTTCTCTAGCAAGATTTGTAGTATTCATGCATGCATACATAGTTTGTCCCATTGATTTCAGTGTTTACTTTCAAGTATGTGGGTGCAAAACAGTCAATGTGGTGTAGTGGTTTAAATGTTGGACTACAACTCTGAAGACCAGGATTCGATTCCCTGCTCAGCAGTGAAAGCCCACTGGGTGACCTTGGGAGAGTCACACACTCTCAGCCCTAGAAAACCCTGTGATAGGTTTGCCTTAGGGTCTCCATAAGCTGGAAGCAACCTGAAGGCACACAACAGCAACATGAGTGGGTAGGATTTAAGTCTTAGAGGCATGCCTTTCTCTGCAAACTTTTGTCAACCTTTTTTTACCACCCCTAAAGCTGCATACACTCAAAGGTAATCTGTTGGCTCCTTAATGAAGGATGATTGCAACAATGCCTCCCTCTGCATACCCCTTCCTAGTGGACATGAGCTTCTCCCTCACTTATTTATAGGTTCAATTCTGTCTCCCTCTCTGTGAGCCAGATGAAGATTCCCCTCTTCCTGCTATTAAGCTTTTTCTTTAAGCAGTTGAGGGGAAGGTGGTCTTCATTAGGATTCTGGGGTGAGCCTCCTCTGCACCATCTGCTGCTCAGTGCTCTTCTCTATGTGCTTGGATGGGGAGGGAGTAGTTTCCATGTCATCAGGACAGAGTTACCTTTTGAAAGTGTGGGTCTGGCAGTATTCATACTTTCAGAGTGCTTTTCTTCTTCTGTTTGGGTGGGCAAGAGGACATTTTGTCCCTGGCTGGGCAAGGCTGATGCAGCTGCAGGTTATGCAGGCCATTGGCAGCCCATCCCTGGCCTGTATTTTTTTTTAAGAAAATCTGGATTTTTGCTGGTTACAATATGCTAGTTTAGAACAGTCATCAGTGTGCTATTCAGTGAAGTTCTAAAGACTTTTTTTAAACACAGTTTTTCTGAAACAATAATTGTTTATTGTTTCATTCTTTTTGTAAGCTGCCTGCAGAATATAATATACTTATGATAAATAACTAAAATAAATGAAAGTTGACAGTTTGGTGGAGAGATAGAACAGAAATAGTTTAGGGATCCTTGTTGACCCAGTGCAACTTACAGTCACATTCACATCAAACTAGAGGACAAATTGACATGAGACAGGTTACTGAAGAAAGTAATAATAGCTAAACAAAAGCTCCCTATTCAAAAGCTGTTTATGTTTAAGCATCAAATACAGTGGGCTCTTGGTATTTGCTGAGGTTTGGTTCCAGGACCCCCCTGTGGATACCAGAATCCGTGGATGCTGAAGCCCCATGAAATACAGAGGCATAGTAAAACAATATCCCTTATATAAAATAACAAAATCAAGGTTTGCTTTTTGGAATTTATATTTTAAAACATATTTTCAAGTCATGGATGGTTGAATCTGTGGATAAAAAATCTGTGGAGAAGGAGGTCTAACTGTACCAGGCATAGACGACAATGGATGGCCATTACTTTCATATTTGCCATGTGTGTTTCTGAATCACTGATGTTAGAAATAAAATTGTGGACCAGATGGTTCCAGCAAAGTACATGCCTGATTTTTCTTTCCTGTTGAGAGAGACCATGTTTATGTAGCTCCCCATTGGACTAATGCCAGTTATGTATCTGCCATAATGCATTACTGGTATACATGTCAGTATGTGGGGTGTAGAGTTGTAGAATCCCTTTGTATATTTGGTTTCCAAGGGTCCCAAATAGACAAATAGGTACAAGTATTAGACAGCTTTGATATCTGGTGACTGATAAAATAAGCTGTTCAAGAATTCTCTGATGATTTTAAAGAAGTGTTAGCTATATTTTGTTCAATGCATAGATGCTTTTGGGCTGGGATGGCTGGTGCCCTCCAGGTGTTTTGGACTGTAATTTCCACAGTCTCAGGCCATTGTCGATACTGGTTAGGACTCTTGGGAAATGGGGTCTAAAATCTCCAGAGGGCACTGGGTTCTCTTTCCCTCATGTGTAATATAGCCCCGCTTCATGGCATTATGCTGTATCTGTTAAATGTCTTTGGTATGTACCTACACTACCTAATTATGAGTGGGCAGAAATAAGGGGTAAAGAAGAATTCCTCAACTACCAAGTTCAGTGTGAGTTAAAAAGGAAGGTATAGTGTAATCCAGTGTAATATCTCCTTTTTCCCTTTTATAGATATAAACCATTTTCTCTGTTGTTCTTTATGATGAATAAATCTTTAAATTAATCATGGCTCACTATTTGTTGCATTATAGCTATAATTAGTTGCTTATTTCCCCCCCCTCCCCCAACCTTGGCTGCCTCTGGTGCACAAAACTATTTTGTCTTTTCTAGTTAAATGTCTTCAAACACTGCTGTTCGGAAATGGGTTTGCAATGGATGTTTCTTTGTCCTTCTTGCCTGGCAGCAATAGTAAGTTTATGTACATAATTTTTTAATCATTTGAAGCAATCATTAATAGTGTTTTAAACATTCTACTGAGTTTAGTTAATGGATGGTGGCAACATCCAAAAATGGGATCAGACATTCTGGTTTAAAGTTGTTATTAAAACTACAGTGGTATAATCCTAATATCTGGTTGTATGAATGCTACATAGGCAGCATCGATTTTCACATTCCCACTACATTGTGATTGAGAGTCCTCTCCCCCAAATTGGTGTAATTTTAAATTCTGCCAGATTGAATCTTTCAGAAGTTATGAGGGAGTTCCAATAATTTGTAATTCTAGTTAACAAAGTCTTTATTTGTTGTTTGTTTCTCAGTCTAGTGTACAGTAAAATCAATTTAGAAAAATTTAAAACAATAATTTAGAAAGACTAAATTTATCTTTTAAATTAAGGCAGTTTAAAACCAGTTAAAAATTTAAAATTGTTTCAAATGATAATTCAACCATAGCACATGTGCAAATTGGGTAAAATCAGTTAGGTACAAAGGGCTTTATTAAAAATCCATTTTTTTTACTACATGCCAGCATGACACCAGCGTTGGTGTCAGTTGGGCCTCTGAGAGGAGGGTCTTCCATAACAGGTGCCACAGCAGAGAAAGCCCTCTCCCATTTCATCCCACAGTGCATTGCTCCTACTGATGGGATATAGAGGAAGATTCATCCAGCAGACCTCAGTTTTTACACAAACATATATAAGGAGAGACATTCCTTCAAGTATTGAGGTTCCAAGCTATTTGGGCTTTCCAGTTTATCACCAGTTGCTTGAATGTAGCCTGGAAGTGTATTGGCAGCCAGTGCAAGTACTTTAAAACTAGTATTACGCTGTTTGGGGTTTCAGTCAGCAGTCTAGCTGCTTCATTTTATACTAGTTGCAGCTTTCGAGTTGTGATCAAGTACAGCCCCATGTAGAGTACATTGCAGTCTAATTTAGAGGTTACCAGTACTACTGTGGCTAAATTATAATTCAGAATTAATTCTCACTATATAGCAATAGCGCTTACTTCCAGGTAAATAGATATGGGATTGCAGATGTAAAGCACAATCCTATGTTTTTCTTCTCAAAAGTAAGTCCTGTTAAAGCAAATCCCAGATAAGTGTGTATAGGATTTCAGCCTTAGATTGTTTTTGCCTTTCGCCCTATAATTCATTTTCTTTTTTTGATACTTTTTTTTTTTTTTAGAAATGATCATGAAATAGCAAATTTTAAACAATTATTTTATCATTTCAGTACCAGTATTAGCTTGTGGTGGAGATGATTGCAAAATTCATTTATATGTGCAACAAGCTGAGCAGGTAACTGTTGTTTCTGTCTCTAGTCCTATTAATTATATGCCATGATTTCATATTCATTTTAGTGTAATTCAGCCAGTGAGAGCATCATCAGTGACCAAGGGCATG